GGATCTTTGTAAATTACAACAAACTATTGCAGTTATTTTACAAAGAAGAAAGAAGAAAAATTGAGAAATTAAAAAAAAAAAAAATAATAAATAATTATAACTTCAATCAATTTTTTTATTAAAAAAATGACTTTAAAAGTTTGTGGAATTCTCAATGTATTCGCCAAGTTTTATTGAAATCGGTTCAAGGGGGTAAAATCCGATAAACCGGATTCTTCCCCTTATTTGCCACCCTTAGAGGTAGAAATTATTTTCTTCAAATTCAAAAGGAACCACTACAGAGGAACTCGCTTACCAACAAAAAAGAATCATCAAAATCGGTTCACAATGTCGGAGTAATCGCGTAAAAAAACTGTCGAATTGAGAACGTTCTCCTTTTTTTAAAGTCGGTTAAAAAACAATAAGTGGGTATAATCATTACAACATTATGATTTTTTTATGCTGGGCATTTTTTATAGTATTAAATATTCGAAAAGTAAACATAATCATGCATAAAAATCGATATCTCCAATGAACACTATACACCAATTTTATTTTTTGATATTTTTTTTCTTATTTTTGTAAACAGTCACATTTATTTACTAATATCATGATCCCCGAATTTTGTGAAAAAAAAAAAGAAACAAAAAACAAAAACGAATTTTGAGAAAAAAAGTAAAATAAAAACAAAATGGTTCCTCTAATTAACTTATCGTTTAAAGTGGAAGTATCGAAATGCCAGTAACTTTATATTAAGCGCTAACGATAAAAATTACTTACATTCATCGTACTCAGTTCCAAGCACGGTATTGTCGTCCCAGACCTGTACAGTGATGTAGAGCATCTCGAATTCCTCGTAGTCGATGGTGATGTTATCCCGGATCTCCTTCACCACAATACGCCCGATGGCTGTCCCATTTGTGGTAGGGTCGGGGAAGATTGTTTCGATGTCCACACATCTAACATAGTTGTCGTATAGATAAGTTATATTTGTAGAATTTATCCCATGAAACAATACGATTGTTAGGGAGGCGTTAAATCAACGGTTGAAAACCCTTTCTTATGAGGAAGTGGAAAATCTCTTAGAACGCATACCATAATTAGTAATACTACAAATCATTTAATTCTTAGTTTTAAGCTTAGGGAAGTTGCAAGGCTTTCCCAACACAAATATACATTTGCTTAATGGGCAAACCTGAATGGGGAACCTGATCTACCATTGTTGAACCAAATTGATGATGATTTAAAAAATAAATAATTTTTGAATTTTTTTAAAAGTTTTGTTTAGTGTGTGTCCTCAGGGAAGACAGCATAGTACCTATTCTATATCTATACCTATGGAATAAGTGATTCTTTGACTTTGTGTTTCACTTAGGCAACATTAGCGTGACTTTACGCACATGGTCTCTTTCACACACAGGGAGCACAGTTAGGTCATAGTCAGAATAAACAGTTTGATCGTCGGTGTCATACCTTTGGCAGAGGAGTTGGTCCGCCGATGGCGTTACTGGTTGGTTTAATGCCCTAAGTATGCCGTACATTATCGGAGACGTCTGAACAAATGAGTTGAACAAACGTAATAGTAATAGTCACGGAAGAAAAAAAAAACAGGAAAGTGGTTAGTTAGCGTCTGACGCGTGTCAACTATAGGTCTCTAAAGACCTACCTAAGCTCAGTACGCCATTTTCGCTTTGTATGGTATGGTTGTGTCATTTTCGTGCAAATTCTGTAAAATCCTAGAAAAAAGGTCTTTTTGTGCTGTTTTGGAGTGCAAAAATGATAGCTACACCAAAAAATTACCTGTGGTGAAATATCATATCATCGGAAAGTGTTATTTTAATAAATTTTAAATTGTCTATTTATCGAAATGTTTTTTTTGTTACAAGAAACGAAAGTAAAGTTTATACCCCTGCAATATGGTCGGTTCTTTTTTGGAGAGCTAAATTAATAACTCCAACTCGTCCTCGTTCGGCAATCAGTCGCTAAATGGCAGCACGTTGGTCGAAATTTCATTCAATACAATATCAAACGTCGTAACAGCGAACAGGGTAAAATTTAAATTATATTAACAATTCAGAATTTGTTATTTCTTTTTAAATTTGAAACTACGACCAATCAATATCACGATTTTGTAGTGTTTCAAATTAAAAATGTGTGAGTTTTGGCGACATCGGTTCTCATAGTAATCGAAGCTTACGGCATTTCTATTGTTTTTTCTTCCGTGGAAATAAACAGTCACGACAGTCAGTCGTGATATGGGAATGGATATATTTTTTTAAGTAGAGAGCACTTATACCTTTAGACTCATAAAAATGCCCGATAAATAAGATTAAGCCCTTAGAAACAGAGGGTTATGCCCATAATCAAATAAATCATGTGACTAAAAAATGAAATAAATTATGTGACTAAAAAATGAAATAAATCATGTGACTAAAAAATTGTCCTAAAAGTGAAAAAAAAAACTAAAAGCGAATTCTGTCTATGCCATATCTAGATGCGGGATGGATAAGTCATAATTCTTACATCCATGTTTTTGTGTGAATGCCGGCCGCATCGAGCAACTACCTTCATCGGAACTAATTGGAGATAAATTCAACTCAAAACGTATGATTTTAATTTTTTGTCTACCTACATTATGTTTCTTAATACGCAGTGAATGGTGATGCTTGTATAGATTTTAGTGCGCTTTACTATTAAGTTTTGAAGTAAGATTTTAAATTTTCTCTGTAAGTGAATTTACATTCTTAAGAGAAATAAATATTCTTTAACCATCATGAAAGAAAAAGACGAGGTTAGGTGACTGCTAGAGACATGTCCTTTGATATGTTATGTAATCGGACATGCTGAAGCCAATGGTGCAATAAAAACAAAAGGGCATCTTGTCTTATTCCGTTTTTCACTGGAGGCACTGATTTTTAATTTACAAGCACTTCCAGTTGAACTTACCCATGGTATTCGACAGCGGGAGTGTCTCTGCCCTGCTTAGTGGCATACGATGTGTTCCAATTGATCTCGAATCGCAAATGTGCAGTCGTGTCAGGATCCGTTGCTGTTATATTCCGCGTAATCTCATAACCTTCAGGCACGTTTTCTTCGACATTAGGGCTACCACGTGGCTGGAGAAGACAGTACACAGGTAAGTAAAAATATATAAGAAAGAAAGAAGATATCCATAATATTAACCTTAGAGCTAAGTCCAAACTCATGATACCACGATTTCGTTTAATCAAGGTAAACAACTCTTTTATGGGGAACTGTATACGTTTTTACAATAAGATTCCGGAGCATATATTAAGTTTATCATTTCCTAAGTTTAAAAACTACATTAAAATATTTTGATCGAAAAATCATATTACAAAATTGAAGACTACGTGTTAGATGAAGATGTATGGAAAGACGACATGGCTCCAGAATCCACACAAATTTGATTCAAAGTGTATTCCATAGCATTTAAGTTTATTTGAAAAGAGCAATCCCTAGAGTTTCTTGCTCGTTCTTCTCAGGGAGGTCAGCGTAGTGAACGAGCAGTAGCTTAAATGTGACGTTTTCAAGTGTATAAATTTATTTTACCTATGGAATAAATAATCTTTGACTTTGACTTGACTATATTAAAGAAACTACTTGGGAATATACAAGCCTAAAAATTAAATGTCTTACAGTATAACTTATTATTGTTTAAAAAAATACAAAGACTAGTATTGTCGTAATAGTGTCGTAACGGAAACAGGTGTTAAAAGTAAATCTTAGCAGAATGGAAGCGGATGCGTCAACGCTAAAAAATTTCTACGAAATTGTTCCAAACAGGGCTTGTTTTTGGATTCATAAACACTTAACACAATGTGGAAAAGAGTGCGGATCTTCCGCAGTAGCGGAAGCAGAAGCAAACGTTTGTTGCATCAGTAGTACCTACATACCTAAGATTATAATGCATTATTTTTAACTTTTTTAACTTTTCTTTTACACTACGATCACAAATAAATTAATTCGTTCAGTATTTTGGTAGTTTAATATTCTGCATTAACAGTGCCCTTACATAGGTAATAAATAGTAGAAATGACGTATTTACAAAATGAATTTTGCCTAAGTTTAAGCGAAATTGCAAAGTAAACGCAAAGTATAATTTAATTTCTTGCTTAAACTTACATTATTTTCGTTTTATAAATACGAAAAACGATTTCGAATTCTAATCAATTAGTGATGACCTATTGGGTTTCCGATTCGATTTTTTATAACAATCGATTTTATTTATGAAGAAGTTTTAATCGTGATTGTGAGCGGGTTCAAAAAAGAAGATATTGCCTGATTGGGATCGTGATGTTGCGTTTGACAATTTGTGTACTCAAGAATTAATAATCAATGTTAATGAGGATTCAAGTGATGATTCCCGTTAATAATAAATTTATTCCATTTCATTATAATTTATTAGACAGGTACCAAAATTTACGTTAGTAACTTGAATAATCTACGTTACATAATCTGTTGGCCCGACAAATATCGGAGCTAATTTTGCATTTTTTTGTTGTATGTCAATAATTACAGAACTTCGGAGGCATGCATATGGGTAACTTATCACAAAGTCGAAAATTTTTTGTCCGAAATAACATTTGTTCGAATTTTCATTACACCGAAAACCGAATTGTTCTTTCAGGATATGTTGAATGTTTATCTCAAAGACACGATTAGGTTCGGTTAGGTCAGGTAAGTTTTCGACGAGGCCAGCAGACAAGAGACGGGGATCCCTTGCCCGCTTTGCACGGTCTCACTCGTCGTCTGAGGGGATGGGTTAAGCGTCCGACCCTCCCCTCTTTAGCGCGGGAACTTTGGCAGAAGCCAAGGTAGCCGGGGGCATCGTTGTGGTAGAATCCTCGGGATCCCACGGTGCCCACAACACCCGGCCAAGAGGGTGCGCCGGGGGTTTTTAGTGGGTATGCCCTCCATCGGAGTGTCACTCGAGCCCGGGGAGGCTCGAGGGTATGCATAAAGCATTTCCCCCCGATAAAAAAAAAAGGTAAGTTTTCGACGAGCAGCGGTCAACCCTGACCGCAGTGGTGGGGCATGACCTATCCCTGCCGATCGTGCTGCGAGTCATGGTCTGCAGCGAGAAGGCGTGGAGTACGGTGGCCTCCTTCTGCACCGATGTATTGTCGCGGAAAGAGGCGGTGGAGCGGGAGCGAGAGGAAGACCCTTCCTCTCATCCTATGCGCCGCAAACGTTTAGGGCGCAGGCGGCTGACCTATGCCCGCCAACTGCCGCCCTGACAGTCAACCCTGGGTGGCAAAACGGGGGCTTTGCCACTCACTGGGCAAGGGTTCACGGGTTGGTTGGCATGCCAAGTATTCCCGGCATGCCACTAACGACGGAGTGGGGACGGTAAAGTCTCCCAGAGGTGGGTCGCTGTCGCGGACAACCGCAGGCGGGGCCGTGGATCGTAAACCACGTGGTCACAGCCCCGACCCATGCTGAGTGAGTAACCACCGTGCCTCCCCGTGACGCGGTGGTAACCATGACGGATTTTCCCCCGGAAACAGAAAAAAGGTCAGGTTAAGTTAGGTTTGAAAGAAAAAACATTTTCCTCTCAAAATTACTTTCGAGGTTATGAAATTTTGACCGAACGTTATCTCTGGCAAATGTCATTTCGGACTATTAATAGGTAACCATGCATATCGCACCCTTAGTAATATAAGGGCACAATCCAAAAAAAGTAGATTTTTGGGAAATTTGGGAATTGATAGGGACTTAAATAATAAATGGGATCAAACTTATATAGCTCCATATTTCTGTTATATTTTTTGTACTATATGGGTCTAACTTGAAAGTGTTTTTTTAACTTGCTTGAAACTTATGGAATTTATTTATATTATTTTTTTTTATTGCTATTTATAATACATTTATCAAAGAACAAATCTGCCACATTTCATATTTATAACTTAAATAATAAGCATGTTATTTGAAAAAATAGGTGTAATGTAGGAATCCAGAATCTTAATACGCGATTTCCCAAAAATCTACTTTTTTTGGATTGTGCCCTTATATTACTAAGGGTGCGATATGTCAAAAGTAAATAAATAGTTGGACGGAGTTTATGTAGACGTGATAGTTCAGTAAACTTCAAATATTAATGATGATAATGTTTGGTTGAGCTTACCAATCTCATCGTCGGAGGAGTGTTGTTGACGTCTTCGAGTTCGATGATGAGCTGTGAAGTAGCCGTGTGAAACGGTGCCATCAGTGTGTCATCTGCTCTCACCTGCAACAACAAACCGTTATTGAATATTTTTTATAGCAGTAGAGCTCCTTGTGAAAGAGTTTATCCAGGGTAATACTGCAACCTTACTTGTATCTGCTGCCAAGCAGTAATGTAAGCATTACTGTGTTCCGGTTTCGAAGGGTGGTGGTGAAATTACAGGCACACGGGACTTGTCAACTTATCGACTCATCCGAATAACAAAGTCCGATGTGATTATACAGCGAAACGAGGATAAATATCGTTTATCCTCGCCTGTTTAAAAGAGTTTTGGGAATTTTTATATCTTATTTCGTTTCGGAAACATAATATCGAACAACAGTCGATCTGACATCCACTGCGAGGAAGAACGAACGAAATGTACTATATCCTGAGAACAAGTACCTAGTCTTGCACATAGACCTTTGTTCTATGTCTCTTGAGACATAACGACTCAACCGTAGAACAAAGCCGGACATCTTGATGTCCGGCGCAGTGGCTCAGATCTTTGTGATTTAAAGCTCTGAGTGGCACTGCAACTGTTATGGACAGGCATGTCGCTTATCACTTCGCGCACGATTTGTTCGTCCTGTCATTTAATATTATAAATAAAAAAATACTCCATAAAGTTTGCGGATATTGTTGAGTACAGTCAAGGCTTTAACACGTATGCACAGGAGCACGAGCACGTCAAGCTTGACACTAAACACTTAAATCCAACTCTATGCCGCTTAAGATAAGGACGGTCCAAAGTATAAAGTGTCAAGCTTGACGTGCTCTTGACTGTACATACGTGTTAAAGCCAAACCCTGAAGATCTAGCGGTGAGGGTCCCGTCATAATGTGAATTTTAATTAATTAGTGGTGATAGTACCAATGGAATATCTATGAAGTTGGCCGAAATATACCGAGATAACCGAGGCCGGTTACCGGACACCCGGTTGCGTCACACATCGCAATCCGTTCCGTATGTGTAAATAAATAATTAGTGTTTTAATCTATTATTTTGTATGTTAATCTGTAAGGTATGTTTTTATGGATCCATGTAAACTGATTATAAATAAAGAAATAAAAATCCCTGGAATCTTCTGCGTAAGCATTTTGATAAATTATACTGTCTAGTTTTAGTTGGATTAATTGCCTCGTAATACATGATACGATGTAATCGCCATGACTCATAAATACAAAAAAAATGTACTAACTTGTACAAAAAGTACGTGCTGCCGGTGGTAATCGAAAGCGTTGTCGATAGACACGATTATTTCTCCGCTTTCGCTGTCTATGCTTAAGTAATCACCTGCATTGCCCATCAATGAATGCCTGAAAAATTTTAATGTTAGTAATCAAAATTTACTGACACCTACACAAAGCATATGATGATTACGCCATCCTGCGCACAGCAAGGCAGAGGACATTAATTTATCGATGTATACTTTATGCTATCACAATTGAAATAGGGTATAAAAATCAATGCGCCAAAACGCAGTGAGAAACGAACGCATTATTCGAGGTCGGTCTCAAAGTATTGTAATTTATACCTTATTTCAATTGAAATAATAACATAAAATATAAATTGATAAATTTAATGTAATTTTATTATTCGTATCATATTACTAGTGTTGCTCTGCGCTGTACGAGTAACTTGCCATGGTGATTTATCTCTAATGACTGAAAAAAAAAAACAACAGATTTGACATAGCATCCTCTCCGATATGGCCGCTATGAACTGTTAATATCTATCAGCCCTTGATGGAAAATTTTAGTATAACTGGTACTCCAACACAACTATGGGTATTAAGAGGGAGCAGAAGAAAAATTCGTAATCTTCGATTTCATTTTAGATGGGTATATCCTTTTTGAAGTTAAAAATAAAATATTGTATGAGTAACTACACGATATATTCAAGCATAGACACTAATCAGAAACATAAAACAATAAAGTTTCCTCGATAGATAAAAATCACGAAATGACCTTTAATTTTCACATTTTTTCGATTCATCCTCGAAATGCTACAGGTTATTAGGACAAAAATTAGATAATTAATTATATTTATGCATGATCGAGAACTGTCACTACGGATTCTTTTTTAATCCCTTTAGTTTTAAAGTTATTCCGCTAAAACGAATTTGGTCCTTTTAATGCGCAAAATTCAACATCTCCTGTCGCATGTCACGCGAACTTCAGGCATATATTTGTTTCACAAATTTGGGCGGAGCCAACGTCAAAACTTTTTTGGCATGCTCCCTCTTAAATATGGAGGGCGTTGCACCGTTACATATTTTGTTTCTAAATCAATAAAGTTATTGAACGACAATGTTTTGGACATTTTGAATTGATGATTATATTATTATATTAAAGGTATAATCTGTTATTAGACAATAAGTTAAAATATACAGGTAAGGTACGTACGATAATAGTTTAAATACTAGAAACTAAAACCAGGATCAAATTATATGAATAAAATGGGGTCCCCGCGGCAAGGTGCCCAAGATGCAGTCAGCGTTCGCCCCTCTGTATAGCTATTATTCCTCCTTTATATATGCTAATGCGTTGGGCAACGTAGTTGCAGACCCTTGGGTTTCCCAGACAATCTATAAATTTTTTGGATAAAATTTTGTACAGATGAAGGTTCCCACGGGTCAAGGTTTTCGACTACAAAGGCTGCTGGGTGTCTTGATACTTATTACTCTTTATTCTTTCTGGCAGCTCAGCTGCGGAGCCAGCCTTCTTGCTGGTGTACTGGAGATGGGAAGGGTGAGTATCGGCACACGTAGCGTCCCACAAGCGAATGACAAAAAGAGCGAGATACTTCTATTCTCGTATAGAGATCTCGCACTTTTTTTTATAGTATCAAGTGACGGGACGACCAAGTCGTGCACCTGTTAGTAAGCTACACGCCTGTCCATAACAACTGTTATGAGTGACGACCGCAGTGACAGTGCCACTCAGAGCTTTAAATCGCAAAGATCTAAGGGGCACTGTCACTGCACCTGTCACCCTAAGACATAAGTTGACAAGTCTCATGTGTCTAATATTCACCAGCACCCTTACCCTTCAAAACCGGAAAACTATAATGCTGGCATTACTGCTTGGCGGCAGAAATAGAAAAGGTGGCAATACTTCCCTAGACGAACTCTTTCACAAGGAACTCTACTGCTACTAATCATGTAATAGGAACAGGAACAGGAACAGACAGGGTTTGGGCAGGCAGGCAGTAATAGGAACAGGCAGGGTTTCGAAAAGGCTATAGCACCGTAGACCACATACACATTTTTCGGCAGACTATACAGAAGTCAGAAGAGTATAAATCAGTGACTGCACAGTCAGGCATTTGTGGACTACGAGAAAGCCTTCGACTCCATCGAAACCTGGGTTGTTCTGGAGTCCTTGCAGCGATGCCAAGTCGATTAACGGTACGTAGAGGCGCTGACAAATCTGTACAGCAAAGCCACGATGTCCATTTAAATACAAAACAACATGACAAGACTCATCCAGTTGCACAGAGGCGTGATACAGGGAGACGCTCTGGAGGACCCCTTCAAGACACTTGATTGGACCGGATTGGGCATCTATGTCAATGGCGAAAATCTCACACAATTTCGCTTTGCCGACGACATCGTTATAATGGCAGAATCACTGCAGGATTTGCAGAAAATGTTGAACAGTCTTAATGCTGCCTTATTATCGGTCGGTCTTCGGATGAATTTGGACAAGACCAAGGTCTTGTTCAATTAGCTTGTCATCCCGGAGCCGGTCTCGACTAATGGCGAAACGCTCAGAGTTGTTCGAGAATATGTCTACCTCGGGCAAACCCTGCAACTAGGCAGAGACTACTTCGAGCGTGAAATTGTTAGGAGAGTGCAGCTGGGTTGGGCAGCATTTGGGAAACTGCGTCATGTCTTCTCGTCACCACTCCCGCAGTGCCTGAAGACCAGGGTTTACAACCAATGCGTCCTACCGGTCATGACTTACGGAGCCGAGACGTGGAATATGACGGTCACACTGGCTCACAGACTGCACGTCGCTCAGCGAGCTATGGAAAGATCTATGCTGGGTTTCTCGTTAAGGAACAAAGTTCGGAACAAAGTTATTCGGCAAAAGACTAAAGTTGTGGACATCGTCCAGAAATGTAGCAAGCTGAAGTGGCAGTGGGCTGGTCACATCTGTCGCAGAACCGATGAGCTATAGAGTAGACGGGTTCTCAAGTGGAGACCACGTATCGGCAATCGTAACGTAGGACGTCCCTCTGCAAGATGGACCGATGATCTGAAGAAGATCGCGAGTAGTGGTTGGGTGCGGAAAACGGGTGATCGGGTACTATGACGTACACTTGGGGAGGCTTATGTCCAAAAGTGGACTACAATAAGCTGATTGATTGATATTGAGTACCAGGATTACCAGCAGCCTTTGGCGTCAAAACCCTGGGCCCGCGGGGTCCAAGGCATAATTAAACAGTTGAAATGTACTCACTCGACTTCATCTCCAATGTCTCTATCCGTCGCCAACATTGTTCCAACGCAATACCCTTTGCCTTCGGTTTCTTTGAATCTGACAGTAAGCGAGTTGATATCGAAGATTGGCTCCTCGTCGTTCCAGTTGATTAAGTCGATGTTTACGTAAGCCACGCCCTCAAAATCCGTATTATTCATGTCTGTTGCTATTACCTAACATAATATTTTTTTTTGTTAATTTCTTGAATTTTGAGATAATTTGTTGTTTGAGAATGTTGCCTATATTTGTGTACCAAACTATGCCAAACATTTAATCTTGACCGTGAACACACAGGAAAATGTGAATACGAGTTTATATACATGTATATTCATCCAAGTACACGTGCAAAGTGTACCTCCATATGCTACGCTCCTGTCAAACCTCAGATTTGTTGTATTAATTAATAATAATAATAGTTAGCCTTTATAATAGTCCCACTGCTGAGCACAGGCGGATTGGGAACTTCACACACATCGTTAAATTGCTTTGCAGATGTTTACAGGTTTCCTTACGATGTTTTCCTTAACCGAAAACCTCATGATAAATTTCAAATTAAAATTCGCACGTAAATTCTGAAAACTCTGTTGTGCAAGCCCGGATTCGAGCCCATGGCCCTTTGCTTGAAAGGCATTAGGTCAAACCATTAAGAGTCGATACTTTGGTGTGATTCCGCATAGTAGTCAAAGTGTTGAATCTAGTAAATTTCAAGATATACAATGATTAGTATACGGTGTGAAAAAACGAACCCTAGAAATTTTCACGACATATTACAAGAAGACCATTGTGCTTAATAGGTACTTTACATATACCAATCATTGTTTTTATATCAACTGAATTAAATATAATACATATACTATACGATATATATTTTCCCAATGGCAATTTCGTTTGCAAAAAAAGTAAATTCTGAATAAAGTCAATGTCCCTGTCGTTCGAACCAAGCGGAATGAACCGTATTAGTACGGGAAAAAATTAAATTCGAGCTGAGGTAGTATCAACACTTAATACAATTGATAATAAACATAACTGGACGTGGATCACTCAGTCAGCCGTAAACATGGCACCTGTAAGGCTAGCGCGACAAGGTGCGTCTTTCGCGAGTGCGACAAAACGCGCGAGATATATCGCATAGACTGTAAGCGCGGTTACGCATGACGACTTTTCAGCGACACAAACGCGCGGTCACATCGCGACTTTAGCGATTTATAGTTGAAAAGGCGCATGTGACTTTTTCAAAAATTTTGCTATGATGTATCTACCGTGATCAGGGAAAAAAGGCCGACATCGATATGTGACTATTTTTAGATAAAATATGAAGTTACCGCAAGAGAAAAGTAGATATTTTTTTATTTCATGCCTTTAAACATTATTTTTTCGGTTTTGACTTTGATCACAAGCGCCCTTTCAACTAACGGCGACGGCGGCTACAGTATGCAGTATACAGTAGTATAGGCGGTTGCATAGGTGCAAATGAGCGATTGCATCGATACAACCGCCTATAAACGGCTAGTCGCGATGCGATTGCGCGTTTGCATCGATTGTCACTATTTTTTTTTCCTAGGTCGACAAGGTATGAACTTACCGCAAGAGAAAAGTCAATATTTTTTAAGTTTTATTTCTTTAAGCATTATTTTCTCTGTTTTGAGTTTTGTCGCAAGTGGCCTTTCAATTAACAGCAACGGTATAGGCGGTTGTATGTGGGGTGCAAACGCCCGATTGCTTCGATGCCGTCGTTTATGTTGAATCATTAAAAACGTGCATCGCGACGTATCGCTGCTCAAGTCGCACGTGTGTGTTAGGTTAAGTCAGGCTCAAAAGAAAAAACATTTTCCTCTCAAAATTGCTTTCGAGGTTATGAAAATTCGAGCAAACGCTATTTCTGGAAACTGTCATTTCGGACTACTGAAAGGTAACCGTTTCTTTGACAAAATAAACATTGATAGAAACTGTACCATATCCAACACAATATTTAAAATGTTCAACCTTTAATCTGATGTTCTGGAATGGGATATCTTCATAATCCAGCATGCTGTGGTTGGTCGTACCCATGGTGAAAGTCTGCCTTTGGTATCCGACATTCGGCGCTATGTAGAATGCGGTATGTGCGTTTTCGGGATAAACACTTTCTAGGCGAACTTCATATTGAGCATGTGGACCCTGAACAAAACAAGGTAACTTTAATATGCAACGTATTAAGATTATCATTTCCTAAGTTTAAAAATGTGTGGTAAGGAAATTGTGTGATGCCTTGTCCAGAAGCCTGAGAACATTTCAACTTCGAATAAATTTATTCTTTGGCGGCATTGACTTACAATTGGCGGAAATAACTTTCCACCTTGTGGTCACCGGAGGCTTCAACTTATATTAAAAGCGGTATTTCAAAATTGAAGACTACGTGTTAAATAAAGATGTATGGAAGGACAACATGGCTATAGATTCCACACAAATTTGATCCAAAGAATAATCCATAGTATTTAAGTTTTTTCGAAAAGAGCAATAAAGTTTCTTGCTCGTTTTTCGCAGGGATGTTAGCACAGCGAATGAGCAGTTGCGTAAGGAATTACGTTATCAAGTGTGAGTGTGGTGTGATGTTAATACAAAGCAAACACGGCAATACGATATGTTTTTCTTTACTAAGAATACCGGTTGTATTTTGTATCCGAAATGACTGTTACTCAAAATCGCTCTAAGTGTTGTAGTCTTGGTCTATTTCTTTCATTTTTGCAAGACCAAGACCACCTAATTGTTTCAAACCCAAGACTGGCCAAGACCCACCCTGCAAGATAGATTTGAGAAAGAACAACATTGTGTTTGTGAGGCTTTTGCGTCTCGCAGTTATATGAAACTCATACATGGGCGCCAAGTTCTTTATAAAACGTCGACTATATTGCAGCGTCATACGGTTTACTCTCAACAAAAAATCTATTACGATAAACACAAAATGGATTTTTTTTTTAAATTCGATAAAATAACACTTAATGATGGCACGAAACACAAACCATGGATAATATTACAGGTGCGACTATGATTTTTGCACTCCAAAGGTAGCAAAATAAAGCATTTTTTCGCGATTTTCATGGTTTTGCGCGAGACAATTAAACACGACCATTACGCTTGTAGAAAATGGCGGACTGCGTACTATTGGCAAACGTGTCACGCCCACTACGCACTTCTTTGGTATTTATTGTTTTGTACTTGTACCCATAATATTGAGTATATAACCAGAAATAGATACGAAATGTAAAATAATTTGTTTGAAAACTATTCTGCCAAATCATTAAGGTGACAACTGCGTTTTGATTGGCCAGCCCGAATTCGAAAGAAATTACTGGTGTTGTCAATTGTTTCACTTGAAATCAACCAGTTTAACTTGAGCTTTGCCATAATGGACGAAAATTGAAAAATTACATATTTAATATTTTATTAGTAAGCGTTAACTAGTATTATTTATCAATTTCATGGGCGGACTTAGCGTAGGAATACGTCTAAAATTATAGCCACCCAAAATGATCGTAAAATTATTGTAAAGTGAATTTATGGTTGGCCTTTGAATATACTCATGACAATATACAAAGTGTTTTTTTTTAAATGGGACAGTATGGAGAAATCCGAAATCATAGGAGATACAAGTAACCTGTCTTAGGCAACTCACGCTTGACTAAAAAAATTACTATGCAAAAATTGTTTTCACAAAAAAGACTTAATGGTTCCTACGACAGGTTCTTTGTGTGTACTCTGGTTTCGGATTCCCCCATACTGCTCCAGTTAAAAAACCACACTGCATATTATTATGTACTCAAAATATAATTATGTACTCTGTCGCGTCGTTCTAAAACGCGGACCAATCATCATTGTCATTTTTTGTAAGAATAATATAATATTATGGTTTGGTAAGTAGTAATAGGTAAATTGCAAGCCTTGCGAGACTTTTGCAGCAAGACCGAGAATGATTGTGCAATACCAAGGACTTAGACCAGGTGTGCTGATGCAAGACCAAAACCAAAACTGGGGTTAGTCTCATCTTTTTCGTCATTGGGCAACACTAGAAATAACAAAACCTTGTTATAATGTACGACACTTACCAAATCCCTATCATGGAAGCCAAACTCCTCGTCAAAATTAATGGTTAACGGTGTCTCCTCCAAGATTTCAACAAAGTATTCCTTTTGTAACGGTACAGGTCTCTGATCATTGATGTCGTTCACAATGATGGTAATTGGGGCTGCCGTGGCAAACGATCTGTTGTCATACTTATAGGCAATGATAGATAGATGGAATACTTCTCGTTCGAGGTAATCTCGATCTATTGGGTCCACGTGTAATATTACTCCATCGCGTCCGATTGGTTCGATCGAGAAGAAATTTTCTGAAAACAGTTTAATAAAACGTGGGATTATGAATTTTTATTGTTCAGACCAGTGTTGTTGCTGATGCAGGTTTTTACACATCATGGGATGCGAATGCAAATGCTATTTTTTTACCTTAACATCAGCAGATCTTTACCTTAACACGCACACGCACTAGCGCACGCGCACTCGCACACACGCACACACACACACACACACACACACACACACACACACACACACACAC